GAGAACTCTCTCTCTTCTCTCCTACTTTTTAAAAACTGGTGCTTCTCGTCTGCTAGCTTTAATTTGGATAAACCAGGCTAGCCTGATCTCGCCAGATCTTGGAAGCTAAGCAGGGTTAGCCTTGGTTAGTATTTGAAAGCTAGGCCTCCAAGGTATACCAAGGTTGTAATGTGGAGGCAGGCAATGGTAAACCACCTCTGAAAATCTCTTGCCTTGAAAACCCAATGAGGTCACGTTAGTCAGCTGTGATTTGATGGTATATTTTGGGATCCCAAAGGTATCTGGATTTTTTTGGAGAAAACCGAAAAAAAGATCCTGAAAAAAATCCCATGGATATTCCCGAAAAACAGTGGAGAGTCTGGAGCAGATTGCTCCTGCTTCTCAGCTGTTTATCAGGCTTCTAGTCCAGTCCCTTTAAAGTTTAAAGGGATTGGAGAAGACAACCCGAGGATCAGCTGTGCAGCGAGAAGCAGACTGCACCTCACTGGCTCAGCTTTGGGCTGGCTTCTCCTGCAGCCCAGTTTAAACTAGGCTGCAGCCCAAAGATCAGCTGTGCTGGGGGGAGCAGAATGCTCCCGGTCAGCCCAACTTCCAGCTGGCTTCCCTCCTTTTTTTTTGTTTGGGTCTATTGGACCCGGAAAAAACTCGGGATTTCTGAAAAATCCCAGATCTCAATACTGTACCAGTCGGGAATTCTGAATTTTTTTGGGGGGGGGGGGACAAATAGACCTGAACTTAAAAATACTTGGGGGGGTTTGCACACCCCAACAAATAACTGCTGATCATGATTCACTTTGTGTTTAGATAGCATAGCTAGAGGAACTGAAAGGGATTTTCACCAGCAGAAGATCCCAGATTTAAATCCCCGGGAAATCATTTATATTTGAAATGGCTACTGACCAAACATTTCATACCAAGGTTTTGTTTGGGTTCTTTTTCTGTTTGTTTTGATGGGGAATTTGACCCAATCTGTGCTAACGCTATGTGCTCTAGGAAAAATAAATCAAACACTAGTTTACATATGCCATTTCACAGCACAGCAGTTGACCCACTAACTTAAGTCCCTGTGGATGATGTATTCTTTCCTAGCAAGTAAACGGAGTCTTCTCTTGGAATGAGAACTGGGTTGCTATACGTATCAGTTGTACTGCTTGATGCAGGGCTGGATTTCATTTATCACACTGCCAAAGTAAGCTGGAGAACAGGGAATCAGCTACAATGAAACGCAGTTGGCATTACTCATGTTAGAAAGTCTCCTGCCTCTCTGATTTGCACTCAGGGCTATGTCCATCTCTGCAGTTAAGAATGTGGTGACTGCATTCTCATTATGCAACAGTAATGGTTATCCCAACTGATTAACAGAATCCTCAGCAGCTTTCCCGGAGCCAACCACCAATTGCTTCCGCTATGGTAACTAGATGTGCCCCTATTAATACAGGGTGGCTGGCCAACTTTTTGGACAAATGTGCTACAAGTAAGGTCCAAAAAAATCTAGTGTTCACTAAACTAAATAAGCAACCCCCTATAGCTCTGGTGTAGTCTTATTTCCTGTCTGTTGAGCCAGGGGGTGGTACTGTGCTGTGGGAGCGGTACTGTGCTAGAGACAAGGACAACAGAGTAGGCCTAACTCTAAGGCATAGCCATACATTTGGACCTTTTGGCTCCTGTCCATATATGCCATAAACTTGCACTGCCTGTGCCATTTGTGGGGCCCACAGCTACAAGCTGTCTACAGTCTTTAATCCTTGTGTAAAATTCAGCTGTCTTCTCCACAGCACGACAAACTGCATCCTCTGCTTCACAAGCAATAAAGTGGTCCAGGAAGCCTGTTCCCCTTTTGTATCTCATCACTCTAGCTTCAGTGGCCCCTTAAGGTCACCGTTCTGTTGTGCCTGAGATGAAGAAGAAGTGATATGCCAGTTTCTAGCGCAAGTGGGGATGACTGTAGGCCAAAGGGGTAAAGGAGAAACTGACATGCACCAGTTTGCATAGCTTCTGTCCATAACCTCAGATCTCTTCAATGGGCAGGCAAAGATCTAAGGATATAAAGTTACAGCCAGACTAAGTTTTCCATCAGTGTGTGTGTGTGTGTGTGTGGGACTTTCCTCTCCCCCCCTTCCCACTGCAGCCCACTGAGCTCCATGAAAGGCTGCTCCTGGGGAGTAGGGGACTCCCAGGAACAATACGAGAGGGGGGTCTGAAGCAAGAAGGGGGAATTGATGGAAACTGCATTTAGTCTGGATCCAACCCACAGGAAGCTGTCTTACACAGAGTCATCTAGGACCAAGCTTCTTAATTTTTTTGAAGGGGGGGGCACTCCATGATATATTTTTCCTCCCCAACATTAAATGCAAATTAATTCAAACCGAACGTGTTTATACTTTGTTTTTCATTTTTAGTATTTATAAATATACAAGCAGGAACCACAAGGATGTGGGAATCTCATTTCCCTCTACTCCACTTTCCCCTCTTTTCCTTCCCTGAAAGTCCCACAGTGTCTCCACTTTTCCTGCATTCTCCTTCCTCTACACCACACGACCTACATGGATCTGCTCCTTCCTTCCCCCAGGCAGCCTTTATCCAGGAAAACTATGGCCCAGTTGTGCAGTGCCAGCTGCCAGGCCAGGCCAGGCCCAATTGCACTGTGGGGAATCCACAAGGACTTGCTGGGGGTACCTCATTTACCTCAATATTTCCTTCTCCACATTATTTCTTATTTCCCTCCTCCTGGCAATCCCCATATCCTCACCTTTCCCTGTGTCCTTCTGTCCTTCGCATCCACTTACCAATGTGCCTTTTATCTGCCCTGAATCTTAAACTATGTTATTCACCATTCTCCCCAATACAGATGATGCCTATGCGGGCTCACATCTGGCAGGTACTCCACCAATTGCATTGGTTAACAGTAGAGTTCCGGATCCGCTTCAAGGTGTTGGTAATAACCTTTAAAGCCTTATACAGCCTGGGACCAACATATCTGAAGGACTGCCCCTTCCTGTATATGCCCGAAAGAGCACTACGTTCTATGGATCAACACCTCCTGGTAGTCCCTGGCCCGAAAGATGTCCATCCTGCCTCGACCAGGGCCAGGGCCTTTTCTACCCTTGCCCCTGCCTGGTGGAACATGCTCCCCATGAGATCAGGGCCCTGCGGGACCTACTTCAATTCCACAGGGCCTGCAAGACGAAGCTGTTCCGCCAGGCCTTTGGCTGAGGCAGTGGATGTCCATATATGGCCTTCATGTAAGGTTGCCAAGTCTACTTACCTTGGCGGCGGGGGAGCCTCGCCGGGCTCCGGGAGCTCTCCGGTGATGCGTGCGCACCGCCAGCACGTCACAGGAAGTGACGCACTACGTTGCTCACGTTGGGGGTGTGGCCCCTATCATCGGAGGGGTTTTCCCTCCAATGATCGGGGCCACGCCGCCAACGTGAACGACGTGGTAACGCAACCACGCTGCACTTCGGGGGGCGGAGTTCCTCCCAGGGCCCGATTCCGTGGCGGTGGAAATTGAGCCTCCAAATCAGGGTTTTACCCACCCTCACTTGGCAGCCGTACCTTCATGAGGTGTTTGTCACTCTGTTAACAAATACTGGCTATGGTCAGGAACTTCCCACAACCAGAATAAATGTCTTGTTATTAGCTGTGACCACCATTTTAATAATTATGACGATGTTTTAAATTGTAATGTTATTACATTAATTAATATATTTGGTATAAATTACATGTTGTTACCCGCCCTGAGCCCACTTCTGGGAAGGGCGGGCTATAAATGTGAATAAATAAATAAATAAATAAATAAATCCTTCTGCTCTCCTCCATTTTTTCCTTACTAAAGCCTTGTGAGGTAAGTTAGGCTGACCGTGTGTGACTGGCATAGTGAGCTTCCATGGCAGACTGAGGATTTGAACCTAGATCTTCCAGATTCTAGTCTGAAACTCTAACGACTACACCACACTTGCTTTTGTTGAACAGTAGCAAGCAGCTGGGTCTGAGTTAGTCATGAGTCATGTGGTATCGTGTCTCTCAGTAGTCGCTGCTGGCCCCGGCTCTAGGCTCTGACAAGTCCTCCCTCAAGGGCTAAAACAATGCTGGAAATGTTCCTGCTCCTGAACTTTACCTTTTCCCGACAGAAACCAAGGCTGGCAGTACTGTGTGGTTGCTTAGCAACGGCCACTGAGGGCATCTGAGTCTTAAAGCTACAGGTGCTGCATCTATTAGGGAGGGGTTAACCCCCAATGTATTTTTTTTTTTAAGATTTCATTGTTTCATGGGGCGTTTTCCAGGTTTGTAGAAATATCTGTGTTTTCTGTCCACGGTTCCATTCTCTTGATTTAAATATCCACAGATCTGGCCATATTGAAAATTAGATATATTGGTGATACCATCATTGAATAAAAAGCTGTGTTTCATAGTCAATTTGTATATCATATACAGAAACAAGCACAAATTTATCATCAAGCCTCCCAAAACCCCTTCTCCTCTTCTGGCCTTGTGAGAAAGTTGTGACCCATTTTTGTGTCACCACCCACAATTTGAGAACCATTGATCTACTCTGACAAAGTGATGCGCTGCATGGTAGTTTTCCTCTGACAGACTACAGCTCTCTTTGAGGATGATGATGTGGCCTAGCAGTAGAGCATCTGCTTTTCATGCAGAACGTCCCAGGTCCAATCTCTGACATCTCCAGTTATACAATGTTTGCAAGTTAGGTGACATGAAAGGCCTCTGCCTTGTTTGGCACCAAACCACCCAGAATGTACTCTACAGGGAACTGTGACGAGTCACTGTCAAAGTACCTTGAAAAGTGTACCTCTATGATACATGTGTTTGCCAGCTTCACATCTAGTTTGTGTGAGGGACAACAGGACATTCAGGGACATGCGACTACCCCTGAAAGCGGCTCCCTGCATCCTCCCCCTGCAAATGGTGAGTAGAAACCAAGTGTTATACAAGAGGAACATCACAAGTCTTTGCTTACGTTTAAAAAGAAGCAGGAATGAGATGCAGGGCTGTTGGTCTCAGTGGCAATCACAGGCTGTTTGTAATGTTTAATTTGACCCTGAAGTGGACCTCCATATATCGGCAACTATATTCACAACAATGTGACAAGACACTGGCTTGAAGCATATAATCAAATTATGTGTTACCGTTGGAATGAACCCTCTTATCTCTGAGACTACAAAATCGATCTGCAGCAATGGACGTGGAGGAAGAGGAACATGCTGTTCTTCCTTTCCCCCCCCCCTTCCAGTCACCTCTGTCCTTTTTGCATACTCTCAGATATTGTTTTCCATGCCCTCAAACCAAACTGGAAAGCTTTTAAAAAAGCTCTGACTCAACGTAGGTTCTTACAGTCCCTTCACATTTGCATCCACTTTGTGTAAGTACATACCTTCAGTATCATGTCCCCTGGGAGTAATCTTCCATCTCTGGCAATGACCCCATCGCGATAGATGTGCTGTATGATGATGTGAACCAATGGCGTTTCGCTGCCTCCAACAATCCTAATGGCCAGACTTTCGTTGGGTTCGCTGCGGCTGATCTTAATGCTGGTAATTTCGCCATCTGGGATGAGGTGATATAGCCTTGGGAACACTGAAATGAACACATTAAAAAGAATAACTCCCAATGGGAAAAAATGCAGTTTTCCACTGCTGATCCAACTGGGTTTCAACAGTAGATATATTGCACGCTAAAAGGGGTGAAAGATTATGGTTTACAGAGCTGAAAGGATTTTTTAAAGCCAAATAATGCACATTAATCTTTTTGAAATCAGTCCTTTCCACTGTTACTTCTTTTTATATAGAGCAGCTTCCTCGGTCAGACTAATGATCCTATGGTACACCGCACAACCACGACCTCCACTGATGATTTAGGCAGAGGACGTCGTTATCAAGGAAAAGCGCAGTAGCTTTTGTTGGAGTGCTTTAGAGAACCTGAACATAATATTAATCAAGGACTCATCCCCTGCAGTCGCATTCAGGCAAAACCCACTTTTTTACTTAGTAACACAGAACCACAACAAGAACAGCTGAAAGACAATCCATATAGTGAGGGGTGTGTGTGTGTGGAAATGAAGAGAAATTGTTGCATTAAACGCCTGCTCAGTTTTCAGGGTTGGAAGGAGCAAGGTCGGGTTGTTCAAGGAGGAGTATCCCCCACGCAAATTGGGCTTGGTCCCGAGAAGCCCCTGAAATACTGCAGAGAACACAAGGGGGTATTTGGAGGTTCTGTGCAGCATAGTGTAAGCAGCCCCACAGTCTAGACTTTTATATAGCTTGTGGAATGATGGCTGCCCCTTGAACTGGGCCATTCATCCCGGTTTTGTTGCACAGTCGGGAGTAAATTAGAGGTACAAAGACTGATTATGAAAGAATGCAAGGACACCATAACTCATGAGCTAATCATGAGCCGACATACCAAGGATAGGAAGAAATCCCTGAAGAATATCTTCTCTCCATCAGCTCACATGTAATCACTATTGAATGTTACCTATCCTTATAAGCAGGGCTTAAAAAAAAAAAAGAGGTGCGGGAACTCTCAAGAGAGAAATGAAGTTTTCGATCGGTATACTGAAAACTCATGAACTTTTAAACGTTTTTTAAAAATGAATTTTGTCAAAGAGGTTCTGGAACTCCATTCCAGCATGTTCCTTCCCCCAAAAAACCCTGCTTATAAGAATGTTTCTAACCCAACAGTTTATTTTATTTAAATTCCTTATATTCCACCTCGAGGTATTACTACTCATGAGGTGGCTACTAAGTTTGCAGGCCAATAACGACCCTAAACCCTAACCCTAAACATTTCTTAGAAGATGCACTTACATGAAGCCAGCAGTTCTCCAAGTATAGCTCCCATTTTTTAAAAAAATCATTTTGAATCTTAGAGACTTCAATGTCTAGTCCAAGTTTCATAATTCAAAACCTCCTAGTTTCATAAAATGATTCCTGAAACTGCATATTGAACAAGGCCACTTTCTGAAAAGTGAAAAGAAATGTACAATTTCCATCCATCTAGGGTTGCCAAATCAGGGTTTGGGAATACCTGGAGATTTGAGGGTGGGCGTTAGGGAGGGGTGGGATCTCAGTAGGATATAATGCCATATAGTCCACTTTCCAAAGCAAGCCATTTTCTCCAGGAGAAGTGGAATACATGTAAATAAATAAGTTATCCACGTAGTCTAGGGATCAGCTGTAATTCTGGGGAATCTCCAGTCCCCACCTGGAGGTTAGCAAGCCTACATCTACCTATACACTTACTGCTGAGATTTAAAAATTCTCTGTGCCTTCATGACTGAAAAGGTACTTCTTGGAAGCAAGACCCTGACATATGTTACCAAATTATCTTATTACAAGGGGCGGACCCGCGATACTCGCGCGGGGGGGAGGGACCTCCACACATGAGGCAGAGGACGAAGCAGCAGGAGGAGGTAAGTTATCCCCCATCCTGCTGGTTCCTCCCCTGTATCCTCCACCCCCCTCCACCCCCTCCACCCCTCCAAATTATCTTATTACAAGGGGCGGACCCGCGATACTCGCGCGGGGGGGAGGGACCTCCACACATGAGGCAGAGGACGAAGCAGCAGGAGGAGGTAAGTTATCCCCCATCCTGCTGGTTCCTCCCCTGTATCCTCCACCCCCCTCCACCCCCTCCA